TATATATATCTAGAAAAAATTATTTCTATGAATATGTCGATAGAATTATATCAGAAATTATTAAATCATTCTTTTTGGTTTTTTATTTTGTTTTTTATTATCTGATAAATTTTTGATAAATTTTCTATCTTATATTATTTAGCATGTATTTATTTAGTATTATTATTACATATTTAAAATCAGTATTTACATTTGAATATTTTATTGGATTTGATATATTCATTTATATTCATTTTTTAGCAAAAAATTTATTTGTTTAAATTTCATATTATAATTCTCATGATAAAATACGATAATTTATACAGAGTGCGAAATTTTTTAATCAAATTAAAATATGATATATATATATCTAGTTATTTAGATTAATATATAATTGAAAATGAAAGAAATAAATAATATTTCTATGTCAACAAAAAGTTAATTAAAATGAAAGATTACAATAAAGTTTTATTAGATCTGAATCTATTTCTATTATCTTTTATTTTAAGTAGGTTTATATATATAAATGTATAGAACATCTTTTTTCTTTTGTGTTTCTAACACAATATATATAAACTTTATATTCTAGATGTGCAAATCTTACATATGACAAATTATTACCAAGTGCTAGTATAATAATTATTTTTTATAATGAACCATGGAGCGTTTTATTACGTACAGTACACAGTGTCTTAAAAGGTTCTCCACCAAATTTGTTAAAAGAAATTATTTTGGTGGATGATCATAGCGATGAAGGTATCAAAATTATTAATATGAATTAATATATTAATAATTTTTTTAAATGTATATTTGTCACATAAGTTGTATATTGCATATTATTTATGTCCAGCAATAATATCTCACACAAACATTATAAAATGTTTTTTTTATCAAATTGTTATATAGGATAAATTATTACATAAGAATGATGTATATAATCTGGTTAATATTTAATATTATTAACAAGATTATTTGTTTAATGTTATTTACAAACGGCTGTATTGAACAATTAATGTTATATAATATTAATATTATAGAATGGCCCAATTATGATACAATCGGAAAGGGAATGATTCCTCTTGAAAAAAATAAATCGAAAATATAAAATAAAAGTTTTATATAAGGCTTTATTTTTGAGAAAATTCACTTAAAAAATTAGTTAAGTACTGTATAGAATCATGAGATTTTATTAAACAAATTCTTATATAAAAAATTTTTATTTTATTTTTGATTTATTTTTTCAAAAAAATGATCCCAATTCCGATTATACCATAACTAGACTACACTATAAATTAATTTTTTATTGTAGAAGAACTTCAGGGACAATTGGATTATTATCTTTCAACGCGTTTACCTGCTAAAGTAAAATTACTCAGGTTACCATTTAGACAAGGATTAATACGTGCTCGTCTTCATGGGGCTAAAAATGCTTTAGGCGATGTTCTTGTCTTCCTGGATGCACATTGCGAAGTTATTAAAGACTGGTATTTTAAATTGGTATCAATTTGACTAAAAGATACTTTCTCTCTACTTTTTTCTTATATCTGGTTTTTTATTTCTTAAATAATAAAATAACTGTGAAAGAACATGAAGACTAAAAAAGAAAGAAAGAGAGGAAGAAATTTATTAATAGAAACATTTTAATATAATGCAGGTTACAACCTCTACTACAGCGAATAAAGGATAATAAAAATGCTGTATTAATGCCAATAATTGATAACATTTCTGAGGAGACATTAGAATACCTTCACGATAACGAAGCATTTTTCTTTCAAGTTGGTGGATTTACATGGTCGGGGCATTTCACATGGATAAATATTCAGAAACATGAACTCGAGTCACGTTTATCTCCTGTATCACCAACTAGATCTCCTACTATGGCGGGCGGATTATTTGCTATTAATAGAAAATATTTTTGGAAAATTGGTAGTTACGATGATAAGATGGATGGTTGGGGAGGCGAAAATTTAGAAATTTCTTTCAGAGTGAGTAAACTTTTCTAAAGAAGTTTGTTTTATTAAATCTATATTGTAGATTTAATAATTGCACGCATATGCCAAAAATGTTATACTGATTTAATGAAATTTTATGTTCTTAATAAATATTGGTACTTTTAAATAGATTTGGCAATGTGGTGGTTCACTAGAAATTATTCCTTGCTCTCGAGTTGGCCACATATTTCGAAACTTCCATCCATATAAATTTCCAAACGATAAAGATACGCATGGAATAAATACTGCTCGTTTAGCATTTGTATGGATGGATGATTATAAAAGATTATTTTTACTTCATCGTAGTGAGTTCAAGGTAAGATATTATGTAATTATTTCAGAGACCTTACATTTATACAGATAAATAAAATCCATAGGACAATTCAAAACTTATTGGAGACTTAAGTGAACGTTTGAAATTACGAAAAAGACTCAAGTGCAAAAGTTTTAAATGGTATCTTGATAATGTTTATCCAGAAAAATTCATTCCTGATGAAGATGCAATAGCTTACGGCCGTGTCAGATTGCGCCATAGACGCCTATGTTTAGACAATCTGCAACACGAAGAAGATAAACCATATAATTTAGGTTTATATAATTGTCACAACAAATTATTTCCGAGTCAGGTATGCAAATATTAACACATTAGTGTTAACATCACATTCAAGTTAATATCAACTTAAATTTAAATATTTGTTTTATTCGAGCAATTTAGTTGTTCTCATTGAGCAATTCTGGTGAATTACGGAGAGAAGATACGTGTGGGAGGGTATTGGATATTGATAATTCAAAACCGCACGCACAAGTTCAAATGTCTGATTGCAACAGTGAAAAAGGTGGAAAAGAATGGGTATTAACAAAGGTATTGTATTATCTTTTTATATTAACAAATGTTTTTGTATCATAAGTGATTTAAAAATATATTTTTCATCATAGGATGGCAAAATAATACATGTAGAAACAGGTCTCTGTCTCGATGGTACTAAAGTGTATAGGAATGAGGACGTACAAGCAACTCGCTGCGCTGATTTACCAGATCAGTTTTGGATATTTGATTTCTATGTCAATAAAAAGTTATCTACATAGCATATATATGTATAGTTCATATATTGTATAGTTTATCTAGGGTATATTCTGTTGCTCGTATAAAATAAAAATTTTTTTACTCTCTACAAAAAATATTGACTAATCATCAAGGGAAAAACTTTTATTCTTTTTTTCCGATAATTCCCAAAATAAATTTCTGATTCAGAAAAGAAAGTCAACATCACGGATACAAGTCGAATTCAAAGATCCTACTTTGTCAAGGAAATTTTTCACTTCGCAAAACAATTGCTTAAGATATAATTGTTGTACTTTTTGCCGTATATTCCATTGTAAATAAATTGTATAAAAAGAGTTTTTAATTATATATTTTTTAAGCAACTACATTTTTTTTTATATCAATAATTTTAACTTATTCCATACATAAAATATATAGAAAATAAATTAAAAGCAATATAAAAATTAATTAAAACGTACAGTTTTCAATATAAGATAAGATGGAAAAGGAAGACACAAATATGTTTTAAATAATTAATTAATAATTAATTAAATAAACAAATAAAGTTTTATAGGTGATCAATGGGGTAAGGTGGATGTCAGATTTTCATTCTGTGCTGTCGCCACATTATCACTTTTGGTAAATATCATTGAGGATGCATAAAGCATCCATAAAATTTAAGTGTTTTAAATTAGTAACGATCTGATTTTTCAAATCAAAATCTGATCTTGAAATATATTTTCAAAACTTTTTTTTTTTAATTTTAAGTGACATATCCTTTAAACTTATTAGCTCTTGTAAATTTAAAAGTGATATATATTTGACTCAAAAAATTATAAAACACATATTAGAAAAAGTAAATTTAACAGAACTTTCTTAAATATTTATAAAAAAAATTAAACCAACTTTTTCACATATTGCTAATGTTCCAGAACCGTTTAGACGCGATAGATGTTGAAAAAGCAGTGCAATTTGTATTAAAATGTATGAATTTTGATGGGGGATTTGGTTCGAAACCAGGATCTGAGAGTCATGCAGGTTTAATTTATTGCAGCGTCGGATTACTTTCAATTACAGGTATGTACAAGAATATATACAGAAGATGTATATTGAATATTATTTATAACACATTTATAAAACATTTTTTCTCCAGGGCATTTGCATTTGATAGATGCTAACCGCTTAGGATGGTGATTATGTGAGAGACAGCTACCTTCGGGTGGTTTAAATGGCAGGCCTGAAAAGTTACCGGATGTATGTTATTCTTGGTGGGTGCTGTCGACGTTAACAATTTTAGGTCGTCTGCATTGGATAGATAAAAAAGGCATGGTAAATAATTGTTTTTATTGAATAATATTTTATGAGATTTTAAATTAAATTTATCAATCTACATTATCTATTAAAAATTTTCTTGTAACTGTTTATAATTTCATTATTATCTCTAGATTAGATGATCAATATTTAAAACAAATTTTCATATCAAATCAAAATCCGATCTTAGATAAACATCATGAGTAATATAATTTTTATTTCTATTTTTCATTTACAGATAGATTATATTTTAATTTGTCAAGATGTCGAAACTGGCGGTTTTAGTGATCGGCCTGGTGATATGGTTGACCCTTTCCATATCTTATTCGGCCTCACCGCATTATCGTTATTAGATGAGAACTTTTCGTTGAAACCAATAAATCCTACTTATTGTATGCCAGAATATATAATCGAACGTTTAGGTCTTAAATCGTCGCGACTCGAAGCATGATTATATACTTGACATGTTTCACGATGTACATTATTTCCTATTTGTCAAATATAGGTAGATTTTTAAGAAAATATATTAATTTTTTTTCGTTTATTAACCATAATTCTTGTACGCAGAGCATTTATTCCTAATTGGATAAAAGTATACTAAAAATACTAAAATTATACTAAAATTAAAAAATTTAATACTTTGTATTAAATATATTAAATTTAATTCTTTATATTTAATATCATAAATATAAAATATTTCTTCCTCTTTTTTTCTTTTTATTTAATTTTTAAATGAGTGTATTCACATTCTCAAATGCGTATGACTTGATTTCAAAAAGCTTTATCTGCTGGAGGTAACAAGTTTGCATTTACAGTTTATTTATCAATGTACATTAAAACAGTGAATATAAAAATTTAATTAAATTTCCAACAAATGTCACTGACTTCACACTTATATATGACAATATTATTTAGAGATGATGTGTACTTTTTGTATTTAAAGAGACAGATAATAAAACATTAACTTTGATTTAAATACAAAATTACTTTTCCTTTATTATTCCAGATATTTCAACGTCGTTTCAATTTCAAAATTTTGAAAAGATTCAAATAATGTTTTAACTACTAATTGATTACCGTTTGTAGATATTATTCATACACGTAGAAGAAAAAAATAATAATAACAAAATGAACGAAGCAATTAAAAGATAGTTTACAAAGTCGGCCTAAATAAATTTGATTTTTTTCATAAAGTAACACTATTCAGACAATACGATGTTTAAAATCAGAACATAAAACATTCTTAAAGAAATCTTAAAAATATTTTATATCTCAATTTTTTAGATATTATGTCCTGTGAGGTTACCCAATCGAAATTAACCTAAATATCGTTTTATAAATAACAAATAATTAATATATTAATATATTTAACGGTAATTTAACAATATAATAAATTTTAATTGAAAAATTTTTAATATAACTACTTGATTGTTTATTTAAAATTAAATCAAACTTTTGTAATTTTTAATAATTTTATTCAAGTCGTGTTTTTCAAATAAGGCAAACTGATTGATATAGTATTTGCAAATATAAATATAGAAAAATACTTATATAATATAAAATATTTATATAAATCATAATCTTAATTATATGTGGAATACAATTATGATTATAAATTTTTTGCTTAAACAAAAATCGATTTTTTTTTAAAGTCGAAAACAAATTGTAATTTATTTCAATTTTCATTTTCTTGCGTACATATTTTGATTAAATAAATTATCTAAATTATAATCTATTAAAATAGTTCTTATTTGTGAGTGTCTCATTTTTATTTTTAATTAAATCTACAAAAGGAAACTCAATATAATCGTTTGTTTATTTCATGTAAAATGGTTTTATTATTCAAAATATATTTATATTTAATGTAAGGAATCAACATCGTAAAATCGCATTATTTCACGTAACTTATATATCCACAATAGCCAAAGGATTAAAATTTGACACATAACATTAATATCCGTAACGTATTAAATGTTAATTGCTATATATTATCATTTGTAATCATCTATTCGTTTAATGGAAATAATAAAAAATAGTATCTATACATTTCATCTATACATGTATACATGTCTATAGATGCGGAAAACAATTTGGGGGCTATATGGGAAAAACTATGTGGGGGCTAAATGGGAAAAACTAGATAGAGGCAATATCGGAAAAACTATGTGGGGGATAAATTAGATGGGAAAAACTAGATGGGGGCAATAAAGGAAAAACTATGCGGGAATTAAATGGGAAAAATCATTTGATGACTAAATGGAAAAACCTTGTGGGGGCTAAATAGGAAAAACTAAATGAGAGCAATATGGGAAAAACTATGTGGGGGACAGATGGAAAACTAGATGGGAGTAATATGGAAAAACTATGTGGAGGCTAGGATGGGAAAATTATATGGGGACTAGATCTTTCCCATCTAGCTCCCATTTAGTTCTCCCATCTAGCACCCACAAAGTTGGATGGGAATAGTTTTCCCATATAGTTCCCACATAGTTTTTCCCATCTAGCACCCAGAAAGTTTGGATGGGAATAGTTTTTCCCATATAGTTCCCACATAGTTTTTCCCATATACTTCCCACATAGTTTTTCCCATGTACTTCCCATATCATTTTTTTCATATATCTCCCACATCATTTTTTCCCATATACTTTCCCACATATTTTTTCCCATCTTCTTCCCACATAGTTTTTCCCACATAGTTTTTCCCATCTAGTTCCCATATAGTTTTTGCCACCTACTTCCCACATAGTTTTTCCCATCTAGTTTCCAAATAGTTTTTCCCATCTTCTTCCCACATAGTTTTTTCCCACCTAGTTCCCACATAGTTTTTCCCATCTTCTTTCCACATAGTTTTCCCATCTCCTGCCCACATAATTTTTCCCATCTTTTACCCACATAATTTTTCCCATCCAGTTTCCACATAGTCTTTTCAATCTTCTTCCCACATAGTTTTTCCCATCTTCTTCCCACATAGTTTTTCCCAGCTTCTTCCCACATAGTTTTTCCCATCTTCTTCCCACATAATTTTTCCCATCTAGTTCCCATATAGTTTTTCCCATCTAGTTCCCACATAGTTTTTCCCATCTAGTTCCCACATAGTTTTTCCCATCTTCTTCCCACATAGTTTTTCCCATATATTTCCCACATAGTTTTTTCCATATACGTCCCACATAGTTTTTTCCATATACTTTCCACATAATTTTCCCATATACTTCCCACATTGTTTTTCCTATATATAATACAATTAATTTTAATTTCATCAGAGAGAGAATTGTCTTATGGTAACGCAATATTTTATATATAGTAAATTAATATCTTTATAATGAGTGACATTGCTAAGAAACGAAGATTTATTAACACAAATGCGCATGCAACGTTTTCGTAAACGGCGTAAATTTCAATCAAATACAAATAATTTAGAGAAAGTCGACAATGCGAATATAAGTCATACGTCTTCAAGAATTTCACATTCAAGATTCAAATATACGCGATATAAACTGTGAAATTCATGAAGAATGTGATAATATCTTACCTATCAATGAAGATGAAAAATCTTATTCAAACTCTGAAAACATCTTTTGGAATAAGTAAGTAAGTAATTCTAGTGAAATGTATTTTGATGAAAATGACAATAATGGAAAATATACTGAATTAAAACAATTAGCAATAAACATGGAAGAAAGTATTGATACATCTTTATTACGCAATGGGCAATGGGCTCTTAAATATAAAATAAAACAAAATTGTCTTGATGATTTGCTTAAAATGTTACGAAAAACGAATTTGCCTGATTTTCCAAAGACTTCAAAAACATTTTTGAAAACAATGTCTGCAGAATCTATCTATTATATCAAAAATATTTCTGAAGGAAATCAAGAAGGTCAGTTTGTCTATTTTAGAATAACTAAATATCTTCAAACCATAGTTAATATTAATTTATATATACAAAATATAATAGAGCTCTTAATTAATATTGACGGTGTTCTGCTTTTTAGTTCTAGTAGCAAACAATTATGGCCAATCTTATGCAAAATATATTTTTAATCTGATGTATATGAACCATTTCTCGTAGCAATATATGTGCCAATCACAAACCATCTAATATACATAAATATTTTGAATCCTTTAAGAAATGATTAATTTATATCGTAAAGGTATTTTAATAAATAAAAAGCATTTTCACGTTCATATAAAAACATTTGTATGTGATAGACCAGCATGTTCTGTAATTAAATGTATTAAGAACCATGGAGGATATGCTTGCGAACGCTATAATGTTCCTGGAATAAGAATAAATAAACATGTTTATTTATCCTTTAAATAATGACTGTCAGCGAACTGATCAATCATTTCGTAATAAAGAAGATCCTTTCATCATACAGGAACATCACTGCTCATCTTATTATCTGAAATAAATATGGTAACGATGTTTATAATATGGTAAGTTGATTTCATGCATTTATGTTATCTCGGTATAATGGAGAAGATGTTTATAGATTTTTGGCTTAATATTAAATCAGCGCAAAAGCTCAGTAGTTTTTATTACTCTCAGTAATGCTGCCAAATTTATAGCTTGCGCAAAATTTACTTAAACTACAAAATCAGGTACCAGAAGAATTTCAAAGAAGTACGCGATCAATTACTGAAATAGCAAAATGGAAAGCTACCGAATTTCGTTTTTTCTATTATATTGCGGACCAATTGTTATTTAAAAAAATGTTTAACGGAAGACTTATATAAACATTTTTTACTATTGCATATAGCTTGCCGCATATTATGTTCTCCAGAAACAGCTATAAAATGTAATGAACATGCAAAGCTATTTCTTTATTATTTTGTTGTTGCAGCACATCAGTTGTATGGCGAAGAAAGTCAGGTAATTAAATTAAATACACATAGTCTTGTTCATTTAGCCGACGATACTCTTAATATGCAATATTCTCTTAATGAAATTACTGCTTTTCCATTTAAAAATACTCTTGGAAAAATAAAATTTTTAATAAGAAGTTATAATCCCCATTGGCACAACTGTGTCGCCGTATACATAAAAGATTTTTTATTTTTAAAGAAAAGGTTACTATACTTATATCTATTGAAATTTTGAGAAAAAAAGAAAAACAAGATAAATCAAGTATTGATATAAAAAAGCTGCGATACAAAAACTTCTATTATTACCACAAAATCTCCAAATAATACTGTATTACTTTTGAATAGAAAAATTTTGCAAGTAAACAATATATATTGTTATTCAAATAAGAGCGAAATTTATTTAAATGAAATTATTTTAAAAATTGTATTAAATCATGAATATACTTAAAAACCGCGTACTATCACGTTCTCTCTTAAAAGAACTTTACGTGACATAATGGATGAATCGATTCCGTATTTACAAATTATGTACAAATCAGCATAAATTGTTATATGACTGCAATGCAACGTATACATGACAGTTCACGTATTGTAAGTTATTTATGAGGATTAGATAAAAGAGCAGTAACAAGCGTGTGAAAACTTTGGTGATAAGGCTTTTCTTTTTGATACAAAATCAAATGCTTCCTCATATAACTAGTTTAGAGACCATGGTGGACCATGTTTGAGTGTCATTGGCAGGGAAGGACCGCTTCCCAGACTTATTATCATCATCATATAACGCTAAATTGAATATTTTTTTTGTAGAAATCGTGTTGTTCACGAAAACGTATTAAATAATCTAATTTTCATTGACTGAGTATCAAACTTTTTAGGTAAGGATAAATCTTATATATCATATTTCTTATTTCCGAAATTTTATTTTTTGTAAATTTCTTATATTTATATAAAAGCATTTTCTAGCTATTGTAACTTTTCTAATTAAAAATATACTCCTGTTTCGTATAATTGCATTAAAAAAATGATTGAATTATTAAATAGATTAATACTACAATTTCATTTTATTTCATCCATTTGCATTCCACCAAAAGTAAATATATCAATATTCTTACTCAAAATAATTAACGACGATATTAAAGAATAATGAATTGTAATTTATACAAGTTGTTACAGAGAGAAAAATTCGTATAAAAGATGAGACTCGTATTTGTGGTGTTCGGTCTAGTGTTTTCTGGATTCGTTTCAGGGATAGAATATTATTCCGATGCATTTGATAAGATAGATGTGGATGCAATTATTAATAGCAACCGTCTTTTAAATCAATATATCGACTGCCTTTTCGATAAAGGTCCTTGCACTGTCGATGGACGCAGCCTTAAACGTAAGTACGCACATATTGTATTTTAATATATTGTATTTTATTGTATTTTAATATATTATGATAATTTTATATTGTATTTATTTTGTATTATTTATATTGTAATATAAATAATATTTTATTTAAAAAAGGAATATCGTACTTGAATAAGAGGAAAAAAAATATTTAAAAAATAATTGATAGTCACAAATATGATATGATTAGCGAAACATACTTATTCACGCACGCGCCTATATTTATATAAATACAATATAAATAAAATTCTTAAATTTTTTGCGTAGTTATACTCCCAGATGCGTTAGCTACAAAATGTGAAAGATGCACCGAGAAACAACAATACATGGCAAGAAAAATAAGCAATTATTTGAGAGAACATAAACCAGATACTTGGACAGCATTTCTTGAAAGATTCGATCCTGATAAAATATATATTGCATCTTTCAAACAATTTCTAGAGCAAACAAAGCCTTAATCTTCATTTGGTTAGTTTTTTAATATATGCATGTTTTTCGAATGCATATTTTGAATACATGTAATATTAAATCTATAAAATTTTTATCTTTTAAGATAGTAATATATCAAACAAAAAGTTTTCGATGTTTCAGAAACTTCAACGAAAGATATCTCATGTCGTAAAAGATTGACATTGAAAATTAGATTTAAGTGAATTATTTCATAAATTGTAATATATCATGTATCAACATATCAATACAACATTTACATTGTAACAAATATCATATTATATAAATATGAATAGATAAATGATTATAATAATAAATTGTAATTTTCCAAAAATTATCATACCTTTGACATTTGCACATTGTAAAACTGGTACATAAATATATTACATTACAAAGCTTAAATGTCTAACTGTTGACTTCATATAATTGAAAATAACGGTAATGCCAATGAATAATTTTATTTGTAATCATATAACAATAATTTTATTGTTAGAACCTATATTTTTGATAATATAACAAAATGATGGAATAAAATAATAGAACGATGAAAATAATCTGTAAATGTTGAAAATAATTTTGTATATAATATTCTGTAATAATTATCAATTGCACATATTCGATATTATGATTTTTACATGCAAGTATTCATTAAATATCTTATTTTTACAACTAGTCCTTAATACATATACATGTAATATCATACATGTGCTAATCGAATGAGCTTTTAATCACAACATTTTACACTTACAAAGTTATATTAGACGGTATAAAAATTTTAGTCACTTGCGAGTGAGGATATTTTACGTATTACATTTCTATTACAATTTACAACGAAACAAAATATGCCCTACTTACTTTCTCAAAAAGATTCTTCAAGTTCATAAGAAGATGCATTTTAATATTTAGTCAGCAAAATTAATATTGAAAATGCCGCCGTAATATAGTATATTTATAATTTTCAAACATAAAAAAATCATTAATTTGTAAATAAACTATATAACAAAAACAAGAAAATATCCATGCATTTATATACTTTAAGAAAGATGGAGCAAAATTTTATTACAATATAAACAGTCGTTTACTGTAATATTAATAAATATTATTGATTTACAATCAATGATTTAAACAAATAATGACAATATAAAGATGAGGCTAGAGTTGATATCTGCAAACTGCTATTTTAAATTCATAAAACTTTCAAAAATAGCTATCTTTTTCGTTGTTATTTTCCATAGATCTCTTGGCAGCTATCAAATTCTCCCATTGCGCAATGAGTGTATTACGACGTCGTGGATTAGGCTATAGATAATAATAAGATTTGTTGTTATTTACTATTAAGTTATCGATAAAAACGTTTCAAAGAAATATTTTCAATATAAATTAACATTTTCATTGTAAATTACCATTTATTTGCTTGTTTTGATGGTAATTGATAATCGAAACATCTTACCTTATGTTTTCCCTTATGTTCTCTCTCAATTTCATCCTCATTTAAAGTATTAGTGGAAGCACCACTTCTAAGGGAACTAGAGCCATCGTAAATATCGGAATCATTATCATTTTCTATATCGAGTAGATTTGGCTGAGATTTTGCCAACATTTGCGATCTCATCAATCTAAAAAGAAAACAAGCTTTACATAAATCAGTTTGAGTTTGGAAATTACTAATTAAATGACAAAATTCCTTTTATATTTTTATTATATGATGCAATAAATTACCTTGGTAATATGATATTATATCCTTACAACGTTTCCTTCATTGTAAGCAAAGTCAGATATTAAGAAAATTATTTAAGTCAAAATTATTTAAGTTTGTAGCAATGATTGTTACAGAGAATTGTAACTAATAATTGAATCTTCTTAAATAATTCAAAAATTATTCAAAAATTATTCTTAAAAAATTAAAAGAGAGAAGTTGATCTCAGATTGCAGATTTTTAAATTATTATTTGAAAAACATATTTTGAACCACACATTTATGTAAATACGTATGCCGAATTTTTCGATCTAAAAATTTCAATACCTTAATTCGTTTTCTCGTTCTCTCATGTCATGCAATTCCTTTTGAATCTTCTGCTCGACAGGAATATATCCTTTTCTTGACAGTGGCTTTTTTGGCTCGTCATCCGGCTCCAATGGTATCTCCAGTGTTCTGTTGAAAGCCTTGATACTCAGAGGATTGAGCGTGATGATAGGCGTTACGGAAGGGCTCAAATTGTCGTTGTTCGACAATTTGTTTTTATAGAGTTTTCCGCGCGTAGCCAAAAATCTATGCATTAGACCCTTTTGACTTGGCGTATTTGCAAAACGCAGCGGTTGTGGCGTTGTGCGTGTAAATATCACGCCATTCGTCATCTTTGGCGTCAAGTTTGGTGACAGCGGCGAGAGGCTGACTGCTTCTAGTATTTGTGGCGTGGACGTCGTCCTCTTCAACTTGCCCGAGACTAGAGCTTGCGGCATACGACGCACCTAGGCGATAAAAATCACTTGTTAAAGATTTTGATATACATATAAAAAATTATTTTTACTTAACAACAACTTCAAAGATATTTTCATCTTTTTCCTTAGGCTCTTTGGAACTCGAGGGAAAATATTTTTTATTTTTATATGAACGAAAAAAAGGATGTTGAATATACGAGAGTTTTAGATATAAAAAAATTGTGAACACTAATCATTAAAGTTTTGTCTTGTTTGGAGCATGCCTTTTGAAGATACCTTGGAATCCACGGTCTCGTGAGATGTAGTTTTAATGCTACCCACATTCCGCAATTCGTGTTCCCTTTCGGTGACTTCTTCAATCTCTCTTTGTATTCTGTCCGTCGCCTTCTTTAGCTGCTCCTGTCTATGCTCCGCCTGTGTGTGCATACAGAGCAATTCTTATGTAAAAATGAAAAACGCCATATCCATTCAACTCTAACTTTCCTCAAAAATGTGTGAAATTAAAATTCAATACTTTTGACCAGAATTCTAATTCCTTTACAAAAAGATTCTTCAGAAACTTCACAATATTGATAAAAAAAGCTGCATTAAAATTGCATTTAAAAAAACAAAGTATTATCCGTTACCACCGTTATCCAACATCAAAGATCAAGTAGTTGTAAAGAATTTATCTGATTCTTTTTCATTGAGTATTAGAGTGTCTGATAATTGATCTGCGAGAGCGAGAGAGAGAGAGAGAGAGAGAGAGAGAGAGAGACGCGG